CTCTTTACCAAGCGGAGCCAACCACCCATCAAATCCCCGTTCCCCCAGCCCTGCTCCCGCTCCCTTCTCACTCCCGCATCAGCAAGTCCGAGAGACGGCAGTGCGGTTGCTCCTGTGTGGTAGCCAGCTACCAGACTGAGCGAGCGGAGACTAGGATCGGCTTCCCCGGGCGTCGCTGCGGAGAGAACCAACTGTTTGGAGACCAGCGGGCTCCCTGCCTGTGTTTCGCGCGCTGTCGAGCACGCCAGGCTCAAAGGAGCTTCTCGGTGCCAAGAAAGGGCAGAGCTGTGCAGCGCGAAGCGCCGTTTAGCAACAGCTCAGAACGGGCAGGCAGTTGACCCTGCCAAGCACAATGAAAAGCATCCTTCCTCCTTTAAACGGTGCTTGGATAAAGCTACCGGGAAGAGCAGGGGTGGGGGAGAGAAAATAAGATAAAATCTTCCGAGGCAAGCTGTGATACCACCCATGACTTAGCTACGATCTGTGTGGTGAGGAAAGCGAGCGGCTCTTTGCAGAACGAACCGCCGTTGTCGAGTCTTCCTTGGCACAGGCCCCAGAGCAAGAGATGCAGTAAAATCTGCCCGGAGGGTGGAAAGAGGGCCGCGAGTCGGCAACCTCTGCCAATCCTGCGAGCCCAAGATGGGGGATGAGCGGAAAGTGAGAAGGAAAAGCCACAAGAATAAAACACCCGGTCGCCAACCCCAACTCAGCCGGGCTTTAGCGGTGCACTGCGGGCAGCTGGATTCCCTCAGGCATAGAAAGGTGACGCAAAAGGGGCGCGAAGAGCCCTCCCTCTCGGGCGGGAAGTTGCCACTTCGCTACTCTTGGCATCTCCGGGCCTGAACCCCAAGGTTTCTTTCCGCTAGAGAATGAGAGAACCCAAAGGAGCCAAATGGCGGCCTTGGCGAGGGAGCAGGAGCTATGGACTAGGGCGGGGGTGGGGGTGGGGTGGAGAGAGAGAAGGAAAACCAGTGTGCGCCACATGCCGCCCCTCTGTTACTGCGTACGAAAGCAAAGTACGTAGTCCTAGGCTTGACACGGCCTTTCTTCTTTGCAACAGCGCTGAATTCGCCAAGTTAAGGGCCAGCGCACGAGAAAAGAAGCCCTGAAATCGGTTTGGTTGTTGCCCCACACCAGCGACTAGGGCTGGTGCGGGAAGTGGTGGAGGGGAGTGTTTGTCTGCCCTGCTCTGTACACTGCAGGGCTATGAGCCTAAAAGGCTACTCAAAGGTACTCTTTCAGCGGCTTAGAAGAAAGCCAGCGAACGAGCGATAAGCTGGAGCGCGGCGGCGGCGCCTGGACTACGAGGCAGTCAGTCTCTGGGACTGTGACACGAAAAGATGGCGCTGCCTCACTTCCCCTCCCCCTTCCCCTCCAGCAGCCTCCTTCGCTCACGGCTTCCTCTTCCTCCCCAGCAGCTTCGCCAGGCCCGTTTCAAGGCTCCCCCTTATGCAGCCGGACACCATTATTAGCTCGGTGGGTCTCTGCCTTTTCTCCTTCATCCCGCTCCGCCTGTCACTCCTCCCCCCACCTCCGTTGACTGGTTAACTTTCCTGTTTTCTTTTTTCTTTCCTTTTATTTTCCTGTTAGACAGCTTGTGGTGGGGGAGGGGAATGGGTGAACGAACCAGAAGGGCGGAATGAAAAGTTCCCTCGCGGCTGTCCTCTCCGCTCCCCACCCTCAATTTCCTCCCTCCGCCCCCGGAGCCACCAGGGCGGGAAGGCCAAGGAGCTTGGAGGGGCGGAGAAGCTGCACCGACTCCCGGGGAGAAGGAAGGAAGCCGCGCCAGAGAGTTTGACTGAATTTCTGCCACCGACAAACCAATCGCTCCGATCTATTTGGACTTCCATTTTCCCGGTGCAAACAAACAAACAAAAAAATAGACCTATGATCCACTGTCCTTTTAATTTAGTTATCGATCCTTCCTGTCATCTACTTAGAAATCGGCAGACCCACACGCCTCTTTCCCATTAGAGTTCCATTTACACTTCGGATTGCGACTTTTTTGTCCCTTCGGTCAAGGCCGACCTGAACTCACGTCCTCCCGAAAAGGGAAGAGAGCGAGGACTCAGTCAGATCGGCTTGCCTGACTGTGTTTCGGGTCTCTTTCCCTTCTTTCTCGGCACTGCTCCTCTCGTTCCTCCCCACATTCTGGTTCTTTGATGTCGTTTTTACTTCCTCCCCGCCCAGCACCTTTACTGATGGATGGAGGGGGCTGGGCTGGAAGGAAGGGAAAGTTTCTGTGCGACTGGCAAAGCTACAGATGTCACAGTAGTCAGAGAAGTTTAACTGCCTGGAAATTCGGTCACAAAAGAGCCAGCAGCTCTTTGAGTCAGTTCCAAATTACCTACCCCCTCCCGTGCGGTGCTAGAAATCCCCCGCCCCGGTGTACACAACGCAGAGAGTTGTTGGTCCTAAGTGCTAAGAAGTTGGAGGGATTTGTTTTGGGGGTGAAGTCTGCAAATGACTTTCAGCGCTGCGGTTGCCTGTTTTAGAAGCTGTTAATTGAATGTCGTGACAAGCGATGCTGCTTGGGCAGAGACGCGAGAAAGCCTCTCTGGTTGTTTACTAGCCCTTCAGAACGCAAAGGAGCCATAGCTACGGTGCGCCGATTTCTCCTGTCTTGGTTCCTTCACATCCCATAGTTGAAGCACAAAAATACCTTAAATTGCTAGTAACATTGAAGTACGGAGTTGTCTGTTTGCGTGTGCGTGTTTGTACGAATGTGGGTGTATAAATTACAATATTGCTATCACTCAGTCTCGCCTGCAAGGTCTTTGTTGCAATCTGCTTTAAAGTAGTGGATATCTCCCTTTAGGGACGGGAAAATGAGCGACTTTCTCTAGAACCAGATCATAAATAAAAATGGCAGTAATTTTCAGTGTTTACACACACTGATGTGATTGAAAACAACCAATTTACAAGTATAGATTTCTACAAAAAAATTTGCTAAGAAAGGTACCTGCATTGCAATGTGGTTTCTTCCTCCACTCCCACTCTTCCCCAGCAAGTAAAGATCCATGTTCTTGCTTGTTGTCCATTTCCTTATTGTTGCTGCTGGTCTAATAGTTGGTTAAATGGAGGCTCGGTTGTGGTCTTATGAAAGGGAAGTGTCCCACCAGGTTGTATGTGACTGGTCAGGTCAAAAAAAGTCTGACCTCTGATCTGCTGCACTCTGGAGGCCCATGAGTGACGTTGCTGGCTTGCCTGTTAACATTTTGCAATGGCACTAGCCTTTTATTTTTGTTAAAAAATAGCTGGGAAAACTCAGAAGCTCTCTAGTTGTCCATTTTAAGATCATTGACTTGTGCTGCCAGGGAACTCTGTGCACAGAGCTGCTCTTTCATCTCCAGATACACAACAAGAACTACCACCCAGGCAGCATTTGCTAATCTCAAGACTGTGGTCTAAGCAAAAATTATTTCATAAAACCTCTCGAACTCTGTATCCTGTGCTGGTTTTGGAACACTTGAAGTCTAAAGGTTGGTAATGTAATATTGGAACAGAGAAAATGAAAAAGTGAAGTGTAGGACTCAGAATGATCTATTTCTGCCATTTTAGATTCTTTTTTCAACCTCATTCCCTTGAGAAATGCTAGTTTACAGATTCCATCATCCACAGTCAACATATGGAGGTTCTCAAAAACCAATCCAGAGAAAATCCAATGGTCTCTTCCCCTCCAGGGCACCAGTGGGGAAGCTTTGTATCCTTCATTGCTTTTGCTTTTCAAATGGACTCTGAGTGGCAAATTTCACTGTATATGGTGATTTTCCACAATGGAAGCACCTTTCAATACCTGTTATCTAGCTCCGGATTGAATATTAACAAACCTCCATCTCCTGCTGTCTGCCCAGAAGTTTTGCCTTTTAGGCTTTTGTCTGCTTTCCTGAAGGCCATCAGGCACCAGGCACTTTCTTCTTTAAAGGCAGTGAGGTTAATCGGATCACTGTAGGGACTGACAGAGTAGCAGACTACTAACCCATTTTGATTTTCTTTAAAAAAAAAATGGGTGTAGGGGTCCAGAGGCCACAGCACCTAAAGGATGACCACATAGGCCAATGTTTTGCCTGATGATGCTAATTTCTTTTTCTAAGGGGCTTGCTTTGACTTCCTCCTCAGAAAGGATGTCTGTCATGTCCTAATTGAGCCTACTTGCTGACACTCTTGCAGCTTAAAACACCTTGATAGGTAAGCAGGGCTAAATGGAATTGCCAGCCAAGCAAGATTATGAATTGGCTTGATCCTCTGCTTTATTAGTTGCACATAATGACTGACATTCATCATGATAGAAACACTGGGCTGGCAAAGACATATTTGGAGAAAGCTCTATGGAATCTTCTAAGCAGGAATAAGAAATAGAATAAACCCTTTTCCTGCATATTCATGATCTGTCACAGTATTTTAGTTTTATTGGACTGTACAGAAATGGGTACCACCAAATAAATGTCCTTTTTTAACCAATTAATTTAATAAAATAGGGGGGATGGTTCATAGAATCAAGATCCCTTTGAGGCAGTACTGAAAAATGCCAGCACGTGTTTTCAATATCAGGGCTGAGATCTGGTGTGTGTGAGCTAAACAGATGTTTTTCTTCTCCTTCTGAGAGCTGGAAATAGTGTGATAAAGCTTAGCTCATGGCTTCCCCTCCTCCATGCCACAGCCTTGTATCAGTTTAAGAAGGTTTTCAGGTTTTACTGTTATAGTCCTGCAAACCTGATTGACCGGAGGTCATAAAAGGACAGAACAAATGAAGGTGGGGTGAGCTCTTAAATAAAACAACCATCCAGTCTTTTAAAGAAAAGTGTTTTTCAATTGTTGCTTTTTTCCTTTACGCAAGTCTACCTACCTGTCCAAACTTGGCTGGAACTATCCAGCAACACTTTGGGGTCAGAGGGCTTGATTCTTAAGAGCCCTCAGCAGCTACGGTACATATTAAAAGCACACCCCACTTTGTTCCTTCTCTCCATTGTACTAGTGAGCAGAATCCTGACCGTTTTTGAATTTTTATGTTCTTTTTTGGCTGACATGTATGGCAAGCAATTCCAAACAGTCCGAGCAATTTGAGGGAACAATGGATTAATCTAAAAGATCGTGGCTGAGCATGGACCCCTGCCAATCTCGCGGAGGCCTCCCAACTTCTTCTGGTGAAAACGAGAGCCTCCAGCCAGCTCTGCCTGGTAAACAGGGAGCGCATTTGTGCAGGCGCGCCGACTAAACAGTGCCTGGCAAACAGACCACCGGCTTGGCTGTGGCTGTGAGCAGAAACCTTCCACTTCTCAGCACTTAGCAACCGAGCCAAGCGTTGTTCCCGGAGCCAGGCAGGCAGGCTCGATTTGATTTACATTCTTGTTAGGACGCAAAGCTTTCGCTTGGCAGTTCAAGGGCAGGACAGGAACCGTGCAAGCAGAGTCTTGTGAACGGAAATCTCTCATTTACAAGGTTCTGCTCCGTCACCGAAAGCCACCCTCGAGCACATTTGTTCCGCACGCAGCTCCCTTTTATCTTCTTCACTCGCTCCTTCTTCCCACGGCTCGAAAGGCGGCGAGGACTGGGGGAGGGAGCCGGTGGGGAGCTACAAGCAAATGCTACAGAAGCAAGTGAGCTCGGCTTGGCCTCCCGCTTAGGCCCAGGGCAGGCAGAATGTAAATAGGAAAACGAGCTTCGGCTCCACGCGTAGACGAGAGTCTTCAAGGCCAGACAAACAGAACTCAAGCACGTGATCAGGCTACCCTGCAAGTCTGTGAAGGCAGCGAAAGGGGGAAGAATCTCCTCCCCCGTCACTTTATGGGCTCGGAGCAAGGAGACGCTTGGATAAATTCTGATAGAAGGCCAAGAGCCAGGTTAGCCTAATGCGGCCCCCCAAAAGTACACGTTAATTTTTAACAACTTCGCCTCCCCTCCGATTCTCTAATCTAGCTGCTAACCTGCCTTGAAGAAGCCTGAGATTGTTAGGAATAAGAAACGGAGAGAGAAACTGGGGAAGGGGGCAGATGGGGAGCAGGGAACACAGAGAGGCCATACTTTATGGTAACATTTTTTTCTTCTCTCTCGCAGGACTGTTAAAAACTTCTCAGTATCTCACCTGGTGGATATCCTTAATTTGAAATGGTAAAATTCAGATCCTGAATCAGCTATTGGGAGAAAGACATACTGAAATAAATGTAATCAGGTACAATAGATAAGTAAATAGAGATCAACGTTCTGCATTTATGTCCTGTGGAAAGTTATACAGAAGGATGTTGTAAGGATAATCTGAAATTTAATGGACACTTTTGCTTCAATCCTCCTTGAAAAAAATACACTGAATTACAAAATCAAGATATTACAAAATAGTCAGTTTGTGTGGTCTATTTGCCTTGATTGTTAGCTTGGAATTACATATCAGAATATTTTTCAAAAGAACAAATATCTACACTTTGTAGAAATAATTACCACATAGTTATTCAATAGTAAATACAATGATTCCTTAATTACTTGAATAGTGTACAGCTTTCACATGAGATTTTCTCAGATTCCCCTCACAAGTATGTATCAAGGCTGTGATGTTCACTTTGGAAGAAAGGTGCTACTCCCTCTTCTACACCCAAAATAAATGTTCTTCATTTATATTTATCATCTGCATTCACATGCTATATTAAGCCATATCTTGGTTTCTTTCTTGGTTTACCATCTTGTCTAAATCCATTGAAAACCTTACTTAATGCTAAGTGAATTGTGTGAATCTAGCTAGTTGTGGCTCCTTTAATTTACTTTGATTAAAGAAACTATGGTTTATTATGATATGTGAACCATTCATTTTCCACTATTTTTTTCCTTATCACATGCTTGGGGAAGTGATTTTCTAGCTAACTTTATAACTTCAGTTGATTTGCTAAAAATTAAATGTGAACTGAGTTTCCAGGATTTTAATTATTGTGCTAGAAATTTTGTTGTTTCTAAATTTTAGGAAGCAGATATTCCCATTTCAGGCAATTCACCATTATTTAAGAAGTAACACAGAGGTGGCTTACCTGTCAGCTAAAGCTCTTTTTGCAACTATTTTGAAAGTTGGTATGAACATATGTAATATGTTTATTAAAAGACAAAAGGTCCAAAGTTCTAGCTCCTAAGCTCTTGAAAATACTATTTTTGTCAAAGAGTTTGATATTGCTTTGACATTTTTCATAATTATTACTTTGTGATATTATGGCCATTTCCTCAGCCAGCAAAAAGCTATTTTATGTAGAATAATGTTCTTGTATGATATAGGGAAAGGGAAGCTATTTTAAGATTATTCATAGAACTATTTAATTTAATATCAGCTTTGGAGTAGAGATATAGTGGTGAAGGACTCTCAGTACTGTGTGCATGTGCCATTTAGCCCAATTAACAAGATGTTTCATGCAATTGCTTTAGCTTGGAATGAAAGCAGTTCAAGTAATATGGGTTCTATTTGGTGTATCTTCCTGTCACATAATAAGAGTACAACATAATTCACAATAAATGCTGAAGAGGAAAACAATTCTAGCATTCTACTAATATTTCTAGCATTTTCTCTCAAATGGCTAGTTGCATAACTTAGCAATGTTGCCTTCTTGTACCTTGTTGTTGAATCTTCCTTCCATTTTTAATAAATCAATAAATATCAAAATTTTGTTTTAATTCAGAAATCAGGCAAATTTGGTGACTTTTTGTTACATAAATCTCAGGCTTTATACCCATCCACCAATAACTTACATAGTTTCTGTAGGAACTCATTAACACTCTGAAATCAACATTGTCTTATCTCCAAAATCTGTATAACCAAAATTTTGTATATTTTTTTTCACCAATCAGAAGTTTTATAATACTATGGATAAGAGTTAGAAACAGTGGTGAAATGTAAAATTTGTTACTACGGGTTCTATGGGCATGGTTTAGTGGGGGGTAATGTGATTGGGTGGGCGTGGCCAACTTTTTTTTTAACTTTTAAAAGCATTTTTTCTACAACCTCTTCAGCCAAAGAGGTTGTAAAAAATGCTTTTAAAAGGCTCTGACAATCCCAGCTGAGCAGCATGATCATCAGAGGCTTTTTTTTTTACTTTTAAAAGCATTTGTAGAAAAATGCTTGGGCATGGGGGGGGGCAGGGATTTTTGCTACCGGTTCTCCGAACCACCCACCGCCATTGCTACCGGATCAGGCGATCCGGTCCAAACCGGGAGCATTTCACCCCTAGTTAGAAATATTTCAAATCAGAGTTATATATTACAATATTCACAAAAAATTGCCAAAGTTTGTATTGGTTGTATCAAGGTATTCTATAAAGCTCATGTTTTGCAGCTCTCTCAGAAGAAGGTAATAAAATGCTCATTTGGTCCCTCGAGGTGTGCCTATTTTTTGGTGAATGGGTATATAATCTAAGAAATTTGGAACATAGCGATACAAAATGGTATAGGTAGTCCTTGACTTATGGCTACAATTGAGCCCAAAATTTCTATTGCTAAGCAAGACAGTTGTTAAGAGAATTTTGCCCCATTTTACAACCTTTCTTGCTACAGCTGTTAAGTGAATCACTACAGTCCTTAAGTTGGTAACAAGGTTGTTAACGAAGCTGGATTCCCCATTGACCTTGCTTGTCAGGTTGCAAAAAGTGATCACATAACTCCGTGACACTGCAACCATCAGAAATATTGCCAAGCACCTGAATTTTGATCACATGGCCATGGGGATGCTGCAATGGTCATAAGTGTGAAAAACAGTCATGTCAGTTTTTTTCAGTTCTGTTGTAACTTTGAATGGTCACTGAATGAATGGTTGTAAGTTGAGGACTACCTATACATCATTTTGCCTTGGTTTTTGAAGAAAAAACCAATCATGTTGATTTTGGAATGCTCAGAGATTTACCTTAAAAGGTAGATCACTGTCAGTTTCCTTCTTTCAAGAAGAATCGCTAGGTCATTTTTTAAAAAAGTAATCATCTGCTGCATGTTGTTCAATGACAATTAATCTAGCTAAAACACTAAAAAGAATGTTTCAAATGCCCTTATTTCTTAGCAAATGTGCACACCAATTTTCTACGGTTAGCATGGTTAGACACTACTATGGCATGGTAACATGAAGAACAAAATTAGATCTCCACCCAGTTCATTAGTGAACCTTGAATCAATTAGTCTTTTTCAACCTAGTCCATCTCACAAAGTAGAAACTGAAAGAAGAAAATTATTAAAATACTTACAGAGATGTTCTCTACCAAATACATTGTATGTAGATATGTAATATGACCTCTTTTCTCAAACTGTTTTAGCAATCTTGGTGGACTTTTGTAAACCAAGTGAACTATATCATAAACTGTCAGGAGTTTGGAGAGGATAATTGTTAATCATAATATACTTGGCACGAAGCAACTATTGGAGGGGGTGGAGGAGACGGACCTGTTTCAATTCCTCTTAGATAGTGCTGATTACTACCTAGTTCTCAAAGCTATTGTTTTGGAATAGTCTTATTGAAATGGAAAATCCCCAGAGTCAGCAATTTGCAGATTTCCCCCCCTCAACACTTTTTGGTAACAAAAAGGTATATGTTTGGGGTATGTGCCTTTGATCTGAAACATGTTGTTCTTGTTCAAAATCCTGTTTATAGCTTAACCTTCCATTGCATTGTTAACAAAAGCAGCTGCTCCTTCAGGAAAAGCAGTGTGTCTCCTTAAGATACCAAAGGTTTAGTCTTCTAGCATATTCTTCATTTATAGACAAAGCCATTCACTCCCTAATGACCAGATTTTTTACCATCAGACCGTGAGTGCTCCAGAGTTGGAAACAGCTAGCTAAGCAAGTCTATTTTTAATGTGTGCTATTTTTGTAGCTACCGGTACCACATCCCAAATTTCCTCTCTGGCCTCTGAAGAAGCATGTCAGTAAGTATATATCCTTATCACAGAATTTGATATTAGGGAAAAGAATCAGATCCTTAATGGAATTGGGGTTTTAATGCTTCAACATCTTACATCTTATGATTTCCACTATAATATTTTGTTTCTCAAGTCATTCATCCCCAAGTTTTATGAATGTAAATGTTGTAAAGAACTTTTTTTAAAAAGTCACTGTCCCCCTTTAAATCAGGTCTTCACCTTGCAGCAAAGATGGTTTAGGGCCAAATTTTTGCTTTCAGCCTCTTCCATCTGTTTCCAAAAGATAAATGATATTGCTTTATACTTCTGAATAACTCACTGATAGATGTAAAGTGGTCTATTAAAGCTACTGGTAATTTACCTTGATCTATAAGCAATTTTCTGGTTTCACTTTTTAATATATAAAGTTTTATGTATGATGCATGCATGCTGTTTTAGGAAATAAAACATATTATAAGAACCATTGAAACAAATGCATGTGCTAAAACAGAAAAAGTATGGCTTTGCCAGTGCTCTTTTTGTAGCTGCCAAAGCTCCTCAGATTGGGGAAAGAATTTAATCCCTTTTCATTGTGGGGGAGGAGGGAGTTGTGAATTTTAAGTTCAGAAGGAAATGCTAAGCCTTTCAAATGAACTTAAAATTTATTTGATGGAACTTGTACTATTGGAGTGCAGTCCTCAACATGTATGCAAACCCTTGGTGAAAGTCAATAAAAGTTGTATTTGTTAATTTTGCTAGAGGTTCTGGAAGCTGTTGCTGATGCATATGGACTTGATCAGAAATTATGCTGTCTACTGATTTACTCAAAAATCTTGCATTCCAACTTTTCTTAATCAAGTGTCCTGATAGTATTGAGAACACACAGAATCCCTGGCTAGCATAGATAAGGGCACTAATATGAACATGATCTATTATATTTCAATGTGTTAAGGGGTTTGGTGATGTAGAAGTGAAGTCCATAACACTGAATCACTGGTTTGATGTATAATCAAAGAAAAGTGTAACATTATTGAGAGGCTAGGCCCTTTGAAGTGATATATATTTAGGGAATAAGGTTAAAACAGAAATCTAAAAGAAGAAAAATTAGGAATGAAAACAGAAAATGAAGAGAGGATTCAAGGATGACTAGAAAGGGGCAACAGTTTGGTAATATACAAAATATATAAGATAGGGGAAGGAGTTAAAGGAAAATTTTCCCAATGGAATTTTACAGACCTCTAGTAACTGACACCTTCCAGATATGTTGTATTATTACTCCAATAATTCCCAATGATTATTGTTGGAAATTATTGCATTATAATCCCGCACATGTGAAGGATGACAGCTCCATTACAACATTGCTTTGTTAGGATTTTTATATGAATACAGTAGTTGATTTCGAAGAAAATCTGAATTTTAATTTTATTTCCCATCTCACCAAAGGCAACTCTGAGTCGCATACAAACACAGTTCCTCTATGCCTCTCTTCCCATCATCGGCCAATGCATTGATTTGTTATAATTGTTTGATTTGCTATAAATTGGAGTGTAACTGTAATTAAGAGGAAAGGAAATTTTGTCAGTTTGGATTAATTCTACTCTCTGCAGGAATTTTAGATATTTACACAATTAAAAAGACTCTTGTCAGAAAGGGATTTGTTTGTTTGTTTATTTGTTTCACTGACTCCAAACCATTGTCAGCATAGTGCAATAAATCATACACTATATTATGAATGCTATAACAGTTTACATAATATACTAAGCCAGGGCTTCTCAAAGTGTGGGACATTATGGGCAACATAGAAGAGGGTCTTTCTCTTCTTTTTTTATGGTGCCCTATGTTAGGATATCGTTTGAGCCTAACTAGTTGTGCAGGCAATATATGTGTACTGTAACTTTAATCTGTAAATGTATTATGTTACTTTAAAGGTATTCATTGTAATGCTGAGTCATGCTGTAATTAGGTAATCACTGGTTGTGAGAGTATTTAAGCAAGGTATTGTAACGTATTCAGTTTGATGATGAAACTGATATGATATGCTACCAGAGTATGATATGCTACCATAGTGAGGAGTTGCTATCTGCTAATCATCGTTTGATAGAATCTGCTACCATTGTGGTTTGTGAACCAGAGTGAGTTTGTTATTCTAACCAACTAATGTTTGTTTGGTAAGAAGATATCTGTAACTACTGGACTGATTTAACTGGCAAAGACTTGGAATTTGTTTAAAGACTATGAGACTGTTTTTCTACTATAAAGTAAGCTTTTTATAAACCAGTTTGCATAACTCTTATTCATTGCTCTCAGCAACGTTTCCTTGTGCATACACTCTGCTGGTTGGTAACACAACAACAATATCCTTAACACCCTAGATATGATAGTCTTTGAATCATTGCTTTTATTCATTGAGAAGTCACATAAATTCATTTCTCATTTAGTGGGTCATGGTATCCATCAAACCTGAGTATTGCTACACTAAGCCCAAACTAAACAACCGCAAAGATGAACATATCATAAAATTTTGTGAATTGTGCTAGACTGAAGATTTTGTTACAAAAACAAACTAATTTGTATGGTTGCAGCTTTAGAAGGGTTCAAATTAATTAATAGCTAATTGTTTTGATTCAAATGGTTTGTATACTGAGTTATGTTTTCTTGCATATGCTTTGATTAATATAGTAGAAAGCTGTCAGATAAAAATTTATACAGGCAGCCAAGTTATTTATCCATTATCTGGTTTCAAAAGTGGTCCTGATACAGTTGTGAGGTATCCCTGTTATTGTTACTTTCAGATCTATTGGGTCTAATTTATTTTGTCCAGGAAGCTGGACAGGTAATCCTATTTAGCTACTCTCTTGTTTAACAACTGTTCACAGTTACAACAGTAATGAAAAGTAACTGTGTGACCAGTCCTCTCACTTAGGACCTTGTAGGTCTGAATAGCAAAGAAAAACTGAATTAAGATGGTAAGCATGGTTGCAGTTTCACTTAGCAACCATTTTGCTTTAAAGACCTAGTTGTGGGTTCCAAATGTGATTGCTAAATGAGGACTTATAAGACTTACTGTTCCATGCCCCTAAAAGCTATTATACAATATGTGCAATTTATCCATAATTTTTTTTAAAAGTCACAGGGTGCTAGTTTCGGCAAAGTAGCTGAAGTTAAAATGTATCAGGTTTATACTTTGTAGTACAAACATGAGTATCATCAAAATAGATCTTTGGGGATTGGGATAGGTGGAAAGGTACAGTTTGCTAAATTGAAGAAAATAAGTAGATTATTAAAGATAAAGGACCACCAAAATAAAATATTTTTTACACAATTCATAGTTAAATTAGGATATTTTCTTCCATGAGGTGTAATGTTAGCTCCAGAATAGATAATTTTATAAGGAGATCAAATATATTTATGGCAGATATTGCCACTTATATATTAACCTCAAATGGGAGTCATTCACTTCCATTTCTGAGAAGCAGGAGCAAGAATTTGTAATATTAAAAATTTAAAAAATATAATTTTTAAAATAGTTTCTATATACAGTAATAATTTTGCATTTTGTTTTTCCTCATGTGCTTAGTGGTCTGAAAACCTTGTAACAGAAACATGGAACATGTGGATGAGGTAGGTTAAAATATTTGAAAGTAGATTTGAGGAAGGATGGATAACATTCATTGTCTTGGTAGGCTGCGTCTCCTATTACTGCGTATCTCCTACTTTAGCTTTTTCTAATCTGATGCCTTCTAGATGCTTTGGGATTATAATTCTGATAATTTCTAGCCAACTGCTGGTTTATCATTCTGGGAATTTTAATCCCAAAACATCTTAAAGATACCAAGTTGGAGAAGTCTGTCTTACATTAAGCTGTTTCTCATCTCAGGGACAGAATAAGAACTAGAAACAGTTAGTAGCATTTATTAGAAGGGAAAAAATGATTTACAAACCTAATGTTCTTTCCCCTCCCATTTAGATTATCAGAAACATCTGCACTGCACTGTAGTCCTCCCCCAGTCATATAAGAGTTATGGTGCTTTGTTAATAAAATTATCATAGGTGCTAGAAAAGCAGTTTAAATAAAATAATGAATACTCATTCATAGATATCTTCTACTTCCTCAAAATTTGAGATCCTTTAAATATTTTAGAATGTATTTTTAAGTTGAATGTGGAATATTATATCTTGTGTGTTCATTTTTCTGACTAGATGTATATAAGAATTTTAGAACAAATTAATATGCTTATATAAGTTAGATTTGGTTTCTTCAACTTTAAAATTCAAGTCCCATCCATATTACCACATTATGAAAATATTTCCTCCAGAAATGGTTTTATGATGTCTCATGAATTGCCACAAAACAGACAAAAAGCAAATTAACTTTTACTGAAATTTATTCAAGTAGTTTACACAATAGGATACTTTTTCTTTAATTTCTGTTACGATGAAAACTCCCCAAATTCTCAGATAGCATCCAGATTCTATCTGGAAGGGGCCAGGTTTGAAAAGTTTGATAGATTGCCCTAATTTAGTAATCTATTTCATGATCTATACATTCAGTAATCTACTAAGTACTGTAGTAATGGGCAACTACATTATGTATTAAATAATATGAGCTGAATGGGGGATATGATTTACAAACCAGTAAAATGAATATTATAATGGCTGGTATTCATATACTAATTTTTTTGTGAGTCAGGCTATTAGCCATCAACCAAGTGCCACCTGAGACCTTATTGTCTAGATTTATTCAATCTGAAATTGGCCAATTTTATATTGGGTTGATTTTTTGCCAATTTATGAAATCGGAAAAGTACTTTCAGGAAGATGTCCATATCATCAGAATTTCTCAGTATGTATTGGCTAACCTCTGCTGCAAAACAATGTACAAGTTATCATTGCTTAGCTGCATTTTACATAATCTTTGAAGTAATATTATCATTAGATTATCCTATACCAAATTTTCCTATTTTAAAATGTACTGTTAAGGATTTAGCACTGCACCGTTGTCTTCATAAGAATCCTATATTTGTGAGAGTTGTTTTGTACCTAATTAAAATAATATATGAAAGCTCACAGTGTACCTACTAGTGACATGTGTAACAATTGAGAGTTGAGAGAAAAAATTGAGTGTTGAATCTTATTTTTTAGAAAGGAATATGTTGTTTAGATACAGAATGAAAAAACAAACACATCACTCCATTTCCATGGCTTGAAAATATAAAGATCACAGTTTAGTTCAATAGTGGTGCCTCTCTGCCAATTAAAGAGTTTTCTGTTCTCAGTATATTCATAATAAAATAAATGCTGGGTCTGGATGTCCCAAAGCTCTATTCCATTCTCTTACAACCTCATGTCAGTATTGTGAGCTTTGTGAGCTTTATGTGTGTGTGTACTCTAGGTAAATGGAAAGAACCCACAGCCATCTTTTTAGCTTGTTGACATATAAGTCAAAAGCAAAGTCCCTGAGTTGAGTTGAAATTCTGGTGACATATCTATGTAGTTTTCTTAGCAGCAATGTGAAAGGCATTTCTGTCATGTTTTTTCAACTTCCTAATTTAGCTTACAGTCTTGTAATCTCCTTGTAGTCTCCCCATTCATGTACTAACTCAATCAGATTCTCCTTATCTTTTGGGATAAGCAAAACTCAGTTGGGTGCTACTATCAAATTGTGATATACTTCTACAAGGTATTACTTTGGAAGCAGGAGCTGCTGTTACACCTTACTTCTTCTCAAGACCTTGTCAAAATTCTTCAGATTCCATAATATCAATATCAAAATAAGCATATGTATTTAAATATATCTACCTACCTATCTACCTATCTACCTACCTATCTACCTACCTACCTATCTATTGATTGAAGTTTGTCATTTTTTATTAATATTTATCTCAACTAGGGCATGCTGAAACAAATCAGCTCAGTGTGCCCAGCAATAGCTCACTTGCATCTGTTAGGATCCCTGTCCTAATTTTTATTTTTCATTCTACTCTTTTCATCATAAAAAAAGAATCTCACAAGTTGAAAAACAAAGTTCTGGCCATTAATATTATAATTTAGATATGGGACTGCTTCTAAATAACAGCCCCCCATAAACATTCTTAGCCAATAAAAGTTATAGGAACACCACACTTTGTTTGAAAATGTACACATTTTACATGGAAAAAGCAAAAGAAAGCTGGACAATAAGCATCATGGGAGGCCAGAAGGAGTGGGGAAGAAAATAAATGACTGATAAGTGGTTTTTTTTAGGATTGGCCATGTCCATCATGGCAGCTGGTTTGATGACTACCCTGTCCTTACTTCATGAACACTTCTGTGAGGGCACCCACAACATGTGTAAAAATTCTATAATTATTCCCACCAGCCAGAAAAAAAATCTTGAGTTGGAAGTTACATATAGGAATATGTGTCTATATCAAAAAAGCTTTTCAGCCAGTCTAGTAGGCCCCCTATGAGCTATGTATAGCTCTCCCAATCATTTTCATAGAGATCAAACAGAATTTTCTTTTAGTGAAACAGAAACTAATAAATAGTAGTAACTAACTGTTGATGAATTTAATCATCTCCAACTGTCCACTTCTTTCAACTCTATTTCATTTGTTTCTTAGCATATAAATATATCCTCCATCCTAGTCGGGTGGGTTCTACTTACCTTTACTACTGGTTTGCAGCAGGGCCACGCACAAGCGCAGAAGCATTTTGATGACTTTGGGGTAGGTGGGCGGAGCGTCCCACCGCTTTTATTATTGGTTCTATGGAACCAGTGCAAACTGGGGGCAACCCACCACTGATCCTAGTATATGCTTATAGATATCCAGATGTGCATTTGCATCTGTATTGGCTGTGCAGGTAGAAACTGTCTGCAAGTCTCTATATTATCTGCCTTACCCTCTCCAACATATCAATATCCTTTTGGAACTGGAATGACCAGAATTGTAAACAGTATTTCAGAAGTGATCTCACCAGTACCAAGCAGATAGAAACAATAACTTCACATGTCTTTGACACAGCACTTCTTTTAATGCAGCCCAGAACTGCACTCATCTTCTAGCAGCTGTCCCACACTTTTCATGTCAGCTTGTTGTCAAATACCATACCCAAGTCCTTGCCAAATGTAGTTATGAATCCATCTTCTATGCATGTCCTACATTTTTTCCTCTAAATGTAGTATTTAATATTTCTTCCTATTAAAAAATGTTTTGTTCTTCCCAACCCATTCTCCCAATTTATCAAGATTAGATTGCAATCTCATTCTGACCTCCTTGGTAGTAGACAGATAT